TTCTTTACGGTTTAAAAACTAAAATGTTTCTTTTGAATAACACTCTTTACCAAAAAAAAAAAGAAGCTGTTTTTATCTAGCAATATTATTTTCAATTGCTTCACTACTTAGTAATTTATGTTTATTTACATACAAGTATCTACTGTAAACTATGGTTATATAGTTACTTACGTATTAATTGTTTGGCATTAAAAATAAAAACTATATTCTTATTTATTTTTACCCCAAAATTAACTATTGTGGTAGTTGAAATTCTTTCTCAAAACAAAATTGCTTGCTTGAATTTTTATCCATTATTCATTAACTGTGATAATGCTACAAAAACAGACTTTGACAAGCACTAAAAATTCGAGTGTCTAAAAAAAACAAAAACAAAAAAAACGGTTTTGGAAGAAAAGTCAGGTTATAGCGTAGGAAGAAAATTAACTTTGGTTTAAGACCCCCACCAAAAAAAAAAGAAAAATCTGTCAGAAAATAAATAAGACTTTCATTTTAAAATGATTTTTTTAAAAATTAAAACGATAATTTATTTTTTATTTAATTTATCTTGAAAATGAATGTCATACATAATTTATAGTAATTATAAAAATGAAATTGGTAATAATTTATTTTAGTTTTAAATTTTTTAAAATATTACTTTTTTACTAAAAATGAAATAAATCTCTAATCAACATCGAGCTTATTAAAATTACCTCTCTCATTACTTAACTTAAATAACTTCAAGTTCAACTAAATCAAATATTGCCTATTAAAAATATTATCTTTATTTTTAAATGTATATTCACTACGATATTTTCCAATCTACACACTGGAAGTTCTGTTATTTTTCCGGTCACCTGTAAAAACAAAATTCTAAAGATTTTTTTCCAGTTTGTTTTGGTCGCATTTCTGAATATTTATAGAGAGTGGAGTAGTACAACACGCACTCAATATATTTTATGCTGCATATAATATCTTTTTCTATTTTATCATGTTTTATATAATTTTGTTATTTTGTGTTAGGTACGGTGACGAAAATCGATGCCTAACAAAAAAAAAAAACATCCAAAGCCTCTGATCTTTGTCATTAACAAGGAGTGGGAAAAATCTCTCATATGTTGTACGTACAATACGCAATGGATATAATTAATTTGTATTTGAATTTATTTTATTCCCTTTTTTAATTAGGTACTCTAACGAACTTCTTAAAAAAAAAAATAAATAAATAAATAAAAAACCTCGAAAAATTTTAAATTATTTGAATTTGTCTTTGAAGTTGAATTTTGGTTTTATCTGAAACGTAATAATTAGCCGCATGGAAAGAAAAATAAATTTCGATAAGTAAATTAAAGATAAATTTTTTATTAGGCATTCTTAAAAGATTGTCGGGTACATACGTCACACATCGATTCATCGAACCGCCATTACAGACAAAAAAATGTAAACAAATTTACAAATTTAGTATTTAATTTCTGAGATGAGTAACTGTCAATATTCTTGTATTATTTCGAACTATTGTTCAAATTTTGGTTGATATAGGTGTTATTGTAGACAACGTTTCTACCAAGTACCTTCTGGTCATCATCAGGTGTCCATTGATTGGCTGATATGAGATATCTGTCGAGTATTGCGATATTTTGTCCCTGTGATATCTGTTAGTTCCGCCTGAATTGATGCGTTACTACCAGATCCAAGGACTGAACTCTTGGCCACTAAATGACAATAACACATGTATATAAACTCTTATATCCACTTTTTTTTTTTTTTTTTTTTTTTTAGCCTTTTATATTCAATGTCAAATTGTCTTTGATATCTGGTTATAATAGCGGATTCGTACCGCTTTTCATAATTTAGTATCATTAATTTTGATGACCAGGGGCTACTTGGTCGAAACGTTGTGTCTAATAACATCTATATCAACCAAGATAAGAACAATAGTTCGTAATGACAAGAAAATTTTAAAAATCTCTTAAAAATCCAGTATTTTTCCAAGCAAACTAGTAAATTTTAGGACAAATTAACTAGATTTTGTAAGAATAAAGCTCACTTTTTGTTCAAAACAATGAAAACGTTTTGTTTACACACGGTAACCTGTGATATCTTAGACCAGCAGCAGATAATTTTCTAATTTCATCCGTTACTTCAAAAAGCGGGCGAAAAATTTAAAAGAAAAAATTAAGGAAATACGGAACGCCAGCGGTGCAACAATCATACATTGGTATTCATGCTTAAAAATAAACTAGGTATGGTCAATAAATCGCCGGAAAATGAGCATAGCAGGATAATTAAAGGCCTTAAACTTGACGAAAATAATTTTTATTTGTCTAACTGTTTATGTTATAATAAAGAGGAAACATCAAAGTATTTTTTGATTATTTTTTAAAATTTTTTTATCATTTTGGGCACGTCCAAAATTGTCGTTTAAAAATCATGTTTTTTTTTGTTTTTTTTTCTGAAAAATCGATCGTCAGCCATTTTTTCAATTTTATAAACAAAAGTTA